CCCGATATCGCCACTTAGATCACCTCCAACATCACCTATCAGATCACAATCACCATGGTCACCCCTATTATCACCCGTTCCGCCAATTTATCCACCATTACAAACACCAATCACCATCTCATCAGATGAAGAGGAGGAGGTCCTCCACCTCCACAACCTTCACAACCTCCTCACCAACCTCCACAACACAACCTCCACAACATCCTCAACAACAACAAAGAGACAATGACGTTATACGCATAAGATTGCAACAGATTAACTAACAAATCGATGGGGTGGACGGTGGTGTTGAAGATCACACAAAAAAGAGCAAATACCAATGCAGGATTTGCTTAAAGTTCTTTGACAGAGCACAAAAACTGAACAATCATTTGAGAACTATGCACAATGATCACACAATTGTTGGAGGTTCCAGACCAAATGCAAGAGCAGCAAATCAAAACAATCCAGGGTATACATAAAAAAAGATTGACAATATAGACAACTTTCACGATGTTACGAGAAACATTATAGACAATGTTATAGAAGCATTCCAAAATTACAATCAAGGAGTGAAATACTATGTATTCTTAGATGTCGAATTCAAAAAGATGTTAGAAGACACAATCACAGATCCGCCAACCACATTTAGAACAGAAATGTACAGACTCCTTAGACGTGCACCAAATGACATTAACGATCAAGCAACTCAAATCAGAGAAACTTTGAACAATAGCATTGACACGTTTATTCAAAATGGAAATGGTTGGGTCTTAAACAAATTGGGAAGGATGCAAGTGAAAATGTTTGATTATAGACCAATGGCTGGTGGTGGTGGTATCTCAGCGGGGTTTTTTCAAGCACCTGAATGGATTGTTGCTAAAAATGAAATTGTCAACGTGCAAAACACAGATGAAAAGTGTTTCCTATGGTCAATCCTAACAGCTCTACATCCAGCAGAAAAGAACGTTGCAAGAGTTACTAAATACAAACCATACGAACACGAGTTTTACACAAGCTGCCTAAAATTCCCTGTAAACCCAGGAAACGAGACGATGCTGGTAAAGTTTGAAACAAGCAGCAAGATATCCTTCAACCCAACAACCTTCGAATAATGGAACTGAAGCACGTATACACCGGCTTAAAAGACTGAAGCACAAGCAATCCACCTCTTTTTGCGATTATCGTAGTTACAGAAAGACATACATTCTTTTCAAAGTGAATTTAACAGGTGATTTACCTCTACTTTCAACACTATTTTATTAAATATAGATGTTTTAGACGCTTATACTTGTTTTTAATTACTTATATCTGCTTTTTATTGTTAATAGTCAATTTTTTAATTACTTGCGATAGCTTATATTCTTTTTAAGACATTTTTTAAAATTTTTGCCCACCTGAAGCGAAATAGGCTGGTCTCCACGACTCAGAACACTTTGAAATAAGGTATAGGTGTGCCAAGAGACGTCGCTTCAGGTACCTTAGGTTATAGTGTTTGTGTGCTTACAATCCCCCGTTCAATGCTTAGTACCGACCTTAGTCTATTGACTTTGTACACATGAGTATTGAATAGTCATCTTGTTGAGGTCTAAAGATGTGCACGGGGAGCGTTTGTTACACTTACCAATAATTAGGAACAATTAGATTTTTTTATTTTTTTTATTTTCATTTCATTCCCTGATTTATTTCCTGATTTATTCCAAACATATAAAAATTTAAAAAAAACCACTACATTAAATGTTTAGATTTCAATGGAGTACCAAAGCGACGATATGGTAGCAAATAACGCTAGAAAGATAGGATTGAGGAGGATTGGGTATATCCTAAGTTCAATGAGATCAGTAAATCGGAGGATGCGGTGAGTACATTTTTACTTCAACATTTTTTTAATTTAAAACTATTAATTTTTACAACCATCATTTTTTTCGAGTGATGCAACAACATTAGTAGTTGGATTGGGTAATTTTTAGATACAGGTTGTGATGTTAGGGTTTTTTATTTCAGGGAACTAGCAAACATGTTCCCCGAAGCGGCAACAACATCCGATGATACGGACATTAAGGAGGAGCACCGCAGAGAGAGGTTGGCGAGGAGGAGGAGGAGGAGACGAATGCGAGCGGCAACCCTTCTCGGAACAGCCCTGAGGATGGAGGTGGAGGAGCGGTCACAACAAGCGCAATCACCGGAATCAACGCCACCCCCCACATCACCAGAATCAACGCTGGCCCCACATCACCACACAGATCACCTCCAACATCACCACTTCGGGTACTCCCGATATCGCCACTTAGATCACCTCCAACATCACCTATCAGATCACAATCACCATGGTCACCCCTATTATCACCCGTTCCGCCAATTTATCCACCATTACAAACACCAATCACCCTCTCATCAGATGAAGAGGAGGAGGTCCTCCAACTCCACAACCTTCACAACCTCCTCACCAACCTCCACAACACAACCTCCACAACATCCCCAACAACAACAAAGAGACAATGACGTTATAGGCATAAGATTGCAACAGATTAACTAACAAATCGATGGGGTGGACGGTGGTGTTGAAGATAACACAAAAAAGAGCAAATACCAATGCAGGATTTGCTTAAAGTTCTTCGACAGAGCAGAAAAACTGAGCAATCATTTGAGAACTATGCACAATGATCACACAATTGTTGGAGGTGCCAGACCAAATGCAAGAGCAGCAAATCAAAACAATCCAGGGTATACAATAAAAAGGATTGACAATATAGACAACTTTCACGATGTTACGAGAAACATTATAGACAATGTTATAGAAGCATTCCAAAATTACAATCAAGGAGTGAAATACTATGTATTCTTAGATGTCGAATTCAAAAAGATTTTAGAAGATACAATCACAGATCCGCCAAACACATTTAGAACAGAAATGTACAGACTCCTTAGACGTGTACCAAATGACATTAACGATCAAGCAACTCAAATCAGAGAAACTTTGAACAATAGCATTGACACGTTTATTCAAAATGGAAGTGGTTGGGTCTTAAACAAATTGGGAAGGATGCAAGTGAAAATGTTTGATTATAGACCAATAGCTGGTGGTGGTGGTATCTCAGCGGGGTTTTTTCAAGCACCTGAATGGATTGTTGCTAAAAATGAAATTGTCAACATGCAAAACACAGATGAAAAGTGTTTCCTATGGTCAATCCTAACAGCTCTACATCCAGCAGAAAAGAACGTTGCAAGAGTTAATAAATACAAACCATACGAACACGAGTTGGACACAAGCTGCCTAAAATTCCCTGTAAACCCAGGAAACGAGACGATGCTGGTAAAGTTTGAAATAAGCAACAACATATCCTTGAATAACATCGACAGTAAGAAGAAGAATAAAAAGTATAAGAAATCACCAATCATACCGTTTAGAATAACCAAGGAGAAGAAAACCAAACACGTGAACTTGCTGTTGCTAGAGAATGAGAATGGGGATGTTCACTACACGTGGATTAAAAACATGAGTAGGTTACTTTATGGGCAAAAGGGACATAAACATCGTAACAAGCGATTGTACTGTGACATTTGCATGAACACGTTTATTAAAGAAGAAACGTTGAAGAAACACAGTGAATTTTGCACACCCAACGAATATATCCAGGCAGTAAAATACCCAGAGGACAATGAACTAAAATTCTAAAACTTTAAGAACAAAATGATTTTACCATTTATCATTTATGCCGATTTCGAATGCATATTGAAAGACATCCCAAATGGTTCGACAATATACCAAGAACACGTGCCGATTAGCTATGCATTCCACATTGAATCCATTGACACTAAATGGTCTCACACTGTAGAGATTTACACAGGGGAAGATTGCATAGAGCAATTTCTTTTACAAATGGATTATTACAATTGGAAAATAAGGGAAATATTCAAGAAAACAATACCAATGGTTGCTCTTACTGAGGAACAGTTAAAGAACTACAACGAAGCAACCAATTGTTACTGCTGCACCACATCCTTTAACATGAATGATGCAAATTTGTGCAAGGTGAAGGATCACTGCCACATCACAGGACAGTATAGAGGTGCCGCATGCAGCCACTGCAATCGAAACAACTTAAACATAATCGCCAAAACCCACACGATTCCAATAGTTTTCCACAACCTCAAAGGCTATGACATGCATCACATTCTATGGAATCTGGATAATCGATACACCCACATAATTGCAACAAGTTCTGAAAAGATCATCTCGGCAAAAATTGAAGGACTTAAGTACATTGACTCACTTAGCTTCCTTAGCTCTAGCCTAGCAACACTTGCAGGAAATCTTCCAAAGGACGAATTTAAATCTGTGAGGGAATATCTGCAACAAAGACTTAGTAATTCCCAACAACCTCAGAGCGACATAGAAATTCGACATGTAGAGGAAGCGTTTGACATGATCACAAGAAAGGGTGTGTACCCATATGATTGGATGAATGATGCATTTAAACTACAAAACACTTCATTACCAACCAAAGACTGCTTCTACAGCAAACTGAATGATTCCCACATCACTGATGATGAATATGAACATGCGAAACGAGTATGGGAATTCTTCAACTGTCAAACATTTAAGGACTCTCACGAATTGTACTTAGCAACAGATGTCTTACTACTCACAGATGTCTCCCAATCATTTAGACGCCAAAGCCTTGAATCCTACTCTCTGGATCCCGCATGCAACATATCACTTCCAGGATTAGCATGGGATGCAATGCTCCTCAAAACAGATGTTACTCTTGAACTATTATCAAAGGAGAAGAGCGACATCTATCTCATGGTTGAGCAGGGGATTAGAGGTGGGATATCAGTAGCAATCAAACGACATGCAAAGACTGATGAAAACAGCACACTTATGTACCTCGATGCTAACAACTTGTATGGATGGGCAATGTCACAACCGCTGCCATATGGAGGATTCAAAATGCTTGACAATGTGCAAAATGTAAATGTTGCTGAAATATTGTCAAATCCCAACCAAGACATTGGATACATATTCAAAGTTGACTTGCAGTATCCAACACACCTGCTTGATGCCCACTCGGATCTACCTCTAGCAACTGAGAGGTTAAAAGTTGCGGAGGAAATGCTGTCGGAATTCCAAACTAAAATGCATCAAAAACTGTTCAACAATGAGAAATATAAAACAACTCCAAAACCCAACTTGTATGACAAAAAAGGTACATCATTCACGGCGATGCATTGAGACAGTGCTTGAATCTCGGATTGGTTGTAACAAAGGTGCATAACATTGTGGAGTTCAAACAAAGCACCTGGTTGAAAGATTACATTGATTTCAACACACAGAAAAGAACCAACGCCAAGAATGATTTTGAGAAAGACTTCTTCAAGCTAATGAATAATGCAGTGTTTGGGAAGACAATGGAAAATGTAAGAAACCACAGCACATATGAAATATGCACTGGTAAAGAACAATTAATAAGATGGGTGCGAAACCCCATTTTCTATAGGGTTTTTGAAATCAACGAAAACACGCTTATTGTGATGAAAAAGAAGAAAACCGTCACACTACGCAAGCCCATCTACGTTGGTTTTAGCATACTGGACATTAGCAAGATCTTGATGTATGATTTCCATTACAATTTTGCAAAACCCAACCTCCCAAATGTGCAATTATGCTACATGGACACTGACAGCTTCATTTACCACATCCCAATGCCTCAATATGCTGTAAATAAAATATTGAAAGAACATGCAGACAAGTTTGATTTCAGTAATTATGACAAAGAGCATGAAAATTATTCAACAGAGAATAAAAAAGGTCATTGGGAAAATGAAAGATGAACTAGGCGGGGTAGCAATGGAAGAGTTTATCGGCTTGAGATCAAAGATGTACAGCTGTATGATAAAGGATGGAGTTGGAATAAAGAAAGCAAAAGGCATCAAGAAGAATGTTGTTAAGCGGGAGATAGTACATGAAAATTACATTGAGATTTTAAAGGAGGAAAGAATATTCAGACATCAACAAAGGAATATTGAATCGCACAGACATGTCTTTCACAGCACTGAGAGAATGAAAATATCTTCAAACCCATTCGACGATAAAAGATATATCCTAAACGATGGATTTAACACACTCGCGCACGGACACCAGACATTAAGCACAGTCAGAATGAACAATCAATAATTAGAACGCTGATAATTTGAACAACAACAGTAAATCTATAATCCATAACGTCTCTTAACATGATAATAGACATATAAGTCACTCTGTAACTTCCAATTTTTATTAAAATATTTATTTATTATGGAAGTTATTGACATGTCTCTTGATCTGTGAATTAAGAATAATATGCAATGCTGCCCGCACGTTGCGCTTTTATCTCATTGAATTTGAATCTTGTTATAATTGAGGTTGAATGGTTTAATGAAATCTTTCAACTCTTTAATTTTAGGTTTTTCACCAAAAGAATCATAAAAATCCAATGTATTATCCTCGTCGATGTAAACAGCAACCCAATGAGTTCCTCGACCAGCGAAATCATCCTCATTGAAAATGAATGAGCATGGTAGGGTGTGAATCTTGATATTTTTTATCTCATCTTTCCCAAACACACCATGGAAATTAGAAAGTTTTTCACGTCCCTTAAGTAATTAGTTTATAGAAACATCATCCATTTTTACCAATCACGAATTACGTTCTTGTGTGCATCAATTTGAATTACCCTGTCAAACTCTCCTAATATAACAATATTTAACAATGTTGTTGGTGCGATTCCAAAATTTATGTTGATACGCAGATTACCCTCCCTCTTCATTAAATATTGCTCATCATCACAATTTCCTTTAGGGGTTAAATCAAAGCCATATATGGTTAATCCTTGATCAAATGAATTGTATCCAATTAGACTTGGATAGTTACCAAGTGTTGATGTTAGGCGATTGTATGCATCAAGGTAGTCTTGTGTAGCATACCCCAACCTTAGAGGTGGTGACATTTCCTGATTATCAACTGTTACTTGAACATTGTTAAGCCTATGATGTCCAAAATTGAATGGGTTTTTTGCAAGAGCGCCGTTATATGCACTATTCTCAACAAGTCCAAAAAGTAATCTATTTGGAATTTTTCCATTGAAGATATTATCTTGAATCCAGCATCAAATGGTTTGGATCTAGCATTCAACCCAGAATTTTTCTGCGCATCAATATTAGTTGGATGTTATTTATCCTCCCTACCCGGCTCATCAGCAACAAAGTTTGTTAACATCAAGTAATTCTTAGCTCTAGTTTCATCATATGTTAAAACTGTTTCCATAAATGATTGATATGCATACATTGCATTTGATTCTGTTACAGGGGTGTCATTTCAAACCAGTTCTATTTGTTTCCATAAAGATTGTCTAATGTTATTAATAACACCAATATTCTCAGTTTCAGTCTTTCCAATGTTTGCACCGTCAGATTTTTTCAATGACAGGCTTGTAAAAAAATAAGAATGATTCAAATCAATCATGTGATCGTTTTGTGCTGCAATGTCAAAAAGAACTGTCTGTTTTGATGCATTGAGTGATGCTGTTTGTGGGGAATATCCAACTTCTTTAAAGTATAACACTTCACTTTGAACTGATGGTTTAGAAAATAGATCAAGACTCTCATTTGGGCAGTCCATGTAACTTACTGTAAGACTCATTTTATCATCAACTTCTTCTTCAATAATTTCTTCAACAAAGATTTTCGCAATTGACGGCTCGTTGTTTGCGCTCTTCGAACTCGCTTACGATTTCCACTACCACCATCTCCTTTTATAGTTTTATCTAGTCTACCATGTCTACGAGTATATACCTTAGAGGTTATTACCCGCCGCCTACTTCTCTTACCACTCTTCTTAACAGCAACACTTGCGTTGATCACACCACCATCAGCATCAATTGCTTTCTTAACAACCGGGTTTACAATAACCTTTTTAATGGTGGGGTTTGCAATAACCTTTTTAGCAACATCACTTGCAACCGCATCAACACCAGTTTCTATCTCCTTTGCAACATTCTTTTCAATTCTATCAATTGAACTTTGTGCTGCTTTTGTAACAGCATCTTTAACATTTTCCCCTGCAATTATTTTATTGATGGCCTTTTTACCCTGCCTTTTTAATACGGGAGCTATTTTCCTCTTTACTACTTTTCTCAACTTGGGAGATGCCTTCTTAATAACTTTTTGAAGTTTAGGTTTGGTTTTTTGAATCAACTTTCTTACAAATGGATTTACCTTTTTAAGCATAGAACCAACACCTCTACCTTGTTGTTGTTTGTGAATTGAATATACAATTGATTTTTTTGGTTGTTGCATGTTCCCCAATTTGTATATTGGAAAATTATATGTTTTCCTCAATGATCCTCTTCCATATTTTTTATCATAGATATATAGAGGAAAAGATTTGTAATTCTGTGATGATTTGTAAATTGGATAATTATACATCTCTTCGACTAAAATGTAACAAGAATGTTGGTCTTGTGTTATAAAACCTTATCTCTTGCCCCAACGCATTCAAAACTTTTGTACGAAACTCGTTAATGTCGTTATACAACAATGGATAGTAGAATAAGTTCTCAAAGTCTATCGAATCAATCGTATGCTTGTCAATCTTGAGAGGCGTAAATCGTAGTAGTGGTGTCGTAATTGATCCAACTATTCTGTAGTCAAGTAGTGTGCAATATATAAACATATTTTTCCCAGCTGAATTAACTTGAAAGTCTTCATCACTAACAACATATGAAAGAGGTTCAAGCCCATTAAACCGATATTCATGGAGCAGGCGTTCCTGATACTTCCCAATGAAAGGACAAAATATTGGAACAGCTTTTCGCTTACACAAAATGTTATAGTTGGTATTAAATTCTTCGAGGATGTTAATGAATCAAGTAGCTTACAAAGATTTTTGCCAATACCAATCATCTTTATATACTTGGGGAATTCAATCTTTATTTTCCTATTATTAAACACTAATAACTTTGGAACACCTTCTCAATGGAGTCCAAGTTCCTCAACCCTTGTTTTCATACTTTCCTCATGATCTTTGATGTCTTCATTTAACATTGATACTATTTCACCCATTGTAAATTCATGTGCTGTACCTGATGCTGGTTTATTTCTAAGAGCTCCTGCTAGTTTTCTTAAAACAGTATAATGCTCTCTTTTATCAGCGGCTTTGTTCCACATTTTAGTGTATTCATCGGAAATTGCAATTCTCACATTCACATCATCATAACCAGCTTTTACAGTACCAACTACAAAAACATATTATAACCCCAATAATTCGCAGAGGTATTTGCTTCATTTAATTCAATTCTATTTCTTAACTCTGAAATCATTTCTACTAATGCAAATTCTCATTTCCCGTGTAGATGAAGTGGCTCTTTCAGCTTAATATTTGAACTAAAGCCTTTACCATCTTCTTCAAGCGAGCACGTTAAATGAAAGTCATTAATCATATTTGCTAAGAAATAACACTTGTCTTCAAATGGGTGGTGTTAACTCGAGGTCTTCCTCTAGACCTAGGAAATATGCTAATGGTCTTGAAAAATTCATTACAATACTTGCTGATTCTAACATTGTTGCTCTCTCACCAGGGACATCCCAATACCCCGCTTTTCCAAGATCTTCTGTAATGAGAAATTCAATTCGACCATTGAATAAATGCACTTCTACGATGTCTTTAATGGTATAACCAAATTCTTTATAGCTAAATACTCTTTCATTGAATAGCCGCTTAAATTCTTTTTAGATTGCTATATTGTCTTTCGTTTCCATTGCTTCTTTGCCGAGATAAATTTTTTGCATACGATTACCGTTTCAATTAAGTTTAATTACTCGGCCATCTGGATCAGTTATCAATAAAAATTTGTATGAAAGAGTAAACCAATATTGATCATATAAACTCCCCAACCCTTTATCAGGTGAAGTCATCTGGAGCAATGCCATTTCCTATCTTCGTTTAGGATTCAACTTCAACACATGTGGTAATGTAACTCTATAATCAACTAGTTTATTGACATCATTGCTAAACCCAGATGGGAGCACCAAATCAAATTCTTCATCAATCATATTGCTTCCAATTGTCCTTCTTCAACCCACTCATCAAATGTTGGCGGGTATCCACGCCACCTTATTAAATAGAAATTTTTCCCCTTTTTTCTTTTGCGTTTTAATATTTCCTCAACTACAAATGTTTTGGGTAAATACACTCTTTGTAATTCATCATCGTAAAAACGATCAGATATCTTTTCACCATTCAAATCTTCAACTTCATGCATTGTAGGACTTCTAGTGTTAAACACCTTTGCAATCTTGAATATTTCCTCAGTAAAATTCTCCTAGTACCCCTTTTCAAACATTTTCTTCTTCAAACTTAATCGCACATAATCACCAACATTGTAATTGTTTAGTCTCCTCCTCCTCCTTTTTCTTACCTCTGGGAACCACCTATTCCTCACTGTCCTAACATTTTCAACATTAACCGTGGAGGGTGCATGCCTATAGATCTATGTTATGTGTTGTTATATGATGAAACAAAGTCTTAAAGATTATCAACATATCTTAATGTATTCTTTGCTGTGAAATAGCGATGCATGCGTCCTTTCAATGTTCTATTAAATCGTTCAACAATTGCAGCTTTAACTTCATTGTTTGCAGTGTAAAATGCAATGTTTTGCTTCTTTAATAATTGCTGGAAATCCTTGTTTATGAACTCACTACCTCAATCAGATCGTAATTTTTTTGGTTTTCTCCCATGAGCCATGATCTCTTTGAATGCTTCAATAACTTCACTTGAAGTTTTTCGTTTCAAAGGCATAGCCCAAGCATATTTACTAAACGTGTCAATGCATGTTAATAAGGATGTTACATTATCATTCTCCTTCTTCAGATGTGCCATATCAACTAGATCACATTCCCAAAGATAATCAATGTTATTCGTCATTATCCTTTCACGTTTGAATTTTCTCCTACTTGGTCTATGTAGGGAATATGCTACAATGCCTGCCAAAAGTACTTGGAACACCCACCAATTTACGCTGCATTTGATATCTTTCATTCCTTTCATGAAAAAAAATTGCTACTTCCGCCCCCTTCCCCCTCAAACAATGTTGATGATTTAGAGAAATATCAATAAAGAAGCACAAAAGAAAGTGCTTCCTAAAATCCTAACCCGTTTGATAGTAAACCAACATTGTTCCGTGGGGGAGAGGGGGGTGATTGGTTTTGACCTTGGAAATTGATGTCAGTGTTCCAAGACTTTTGGCAGGCATTGTAGACTTGTCTTACTCCATTCTTGAACATCTTTTCTTGTTAACTTTGGAATTAATTTCTTAAATTCACGATATGCACGGTCCAACCCACCCAAAGATCCGGGGATCGCAGGGTTTGAATATAACGCTTCAATGTCAATTTTATTGAAAGAAAAATAACATATAATACAACGATTGTATTTGACTTTATAATTACATCAAATCAATTAACATCTCTATTAACCGATCTTGTCCAACATCATTAGCTATGTGTTTCTTCTTCTTCTTTCCGCTTCTAACTGATCGGCCTTTTATCGATTTCTTTTCCCCTCTTCTTCTATTCTTTACTTTAGTTTTGTCTTTTTCTTTATTGGATTTGGAACTCACAGCTTTTCCATCTGCTTTAAGAGGCTCGCTTGCTTTACCATCTGCTTTAACAGAATTAATAACTTTACCTGCACTCTTCAACTTATAATCAACTTTATATTTCTCCATTGGTATCATAACTAATTTTTCATAATCACCCATTGTTGCGATTGTGATAAATACCGCTTTGGTTTAATCATATTGCGATGCTATTTATAGTTTTTTGGTCTAAAGACAATCATAGGAGCTTCCTTAGGGAATATTTTCGTCCGCAACCGTAAATTTTCATCTATTGATTGTGTGAAGTCACATAATAAATATCCATATAACCTCGCAGTTGCATCATTATAAATGTTCAAGAATATATTAGAGCATGTAGGCATAGTTTGTTGTGCTAGAAATCTTATATGTCTTCTATCTGTTGGATTCTTAAATAATACTTGATATCGTGTGTTGAGTGCAAGGTTTCTCATCTCAGTTCCTCTTGGGAACGGATTCTGCATCATGACAATTACATTAACATTTAAATGTGATCTCTCATTGGTGGATAATTTCCCAATGTCTTTTAAATTACTAATTTCATGCATTAAGTCATCTATAATTATTGTCATTTTTTATTCATTTTTTCAATTTCTGTGTACAAGTTTTCAGGTAACTTCGTAATAAATCTAGTATGACCATCAAAAATCTTCTCAACGCGCTTGAATAGATCCGGCTGTTCTGTTCCTGAGTTCCACAACAAGTTTAGGTACTCTCTTCCATTGTTGATGATTACATTATAATGTTTTAATAAATTTTCAACCCACGTTGTTTTACCGCTACCATTTACACCAGATAGAATCAAAGAAAAAGGCGCTTTGAATCTTAAATCATAATTCATTTTTATATTCAACAAGCGAACTTATTCTACAACAACAACTTGCTTATATAGAAAAATGTGCTACAACAACAACGATTGTTTGTAAAGTTATTGTGATTCAACTAGTGAATATATCATCCTCAGAAGAACATTGAGTAGAAATGTCGATGCATCCTTTATGTTATAGACAGCACCTTTCCTCTGCGTCATACCATCATACACACTATCAAGGATTGTATGTACATGTGTGTCGTATGATTTCAAACTGGCAAATTTCTTACTCTTCTTCAGTTCACCAATCATGCTGCTTTTGAACTGTTCTCTCCCCTCGTTGAGCATGTTATCATTTGCTTATGAAACATGGAATGTTACAAACTTAAAGACGTTAACTTCAATGCAATCATTATTGTGTAGGTTGTCGGGCGAACATCTCTTTTGGCAAAACTCTGCACCTTTCAGTCTAATATACTTCATTAGAATCACTTTGTATGCTTCTTGAATGCAATCTGACAGCTTCTCATTACGCTCATCCAAACTGCGTACTTTTTGTTTCACCAACCCTTTTGGAATTGATAATTTTCTAACACCTTTGCCTTTCTTTGATTTACCTTTATCATCATTGGTTGGTTGATCAACTTCTACACCTTCATCATCAACATGCTTACTCTCATCAGCTTTGAACCACCTCCTCTTCTTGCTCTTCTGTGTGGTATGCTCTCTTCAACTTATTGGAATTTACCTGTGAATCAATCCATGATAGAATATACTCTGCTTTCACTCTGAAATCTTTAAGCATGTGCTCTTTCAATGTGATGCTTATCTTTGATGGTTTATCACCTTTCCATCTGCGAACTGCCACGCATGGTTTGCATTCCCCCTCTCCATACTTGGAAATGTAAATCTCCAATTTGTCAACTGCTTCATCATCTCTCTTTTGCAGTACATGTGTTAAGAGAGTTAGAATCTTTGTGGTTTGCCCTGCATATGTCTTGGTTATCACACTTTGATGGTTTTTCTCCATCAATGTTGCGCTGTCTTCATCATGATATTGGATATTCTCATCTTTTGTCAGTGTGAATGATTCATTAACAATTTTTAGCAATGACTTGAGAGCGTCAATATCAAATGTCATAGACTTCTTCACTTGTTTGTCTTTAAACACATCCTCGGTAGTCAACACCCATCTATCTTCTGCACTGTATGCAATGTTGAAATCTGTGTGCATGTTAGAGTTTTCATTATTATGAAAATGCACTTTGAACATTTCACCCTTCTTCTTTGGAGTTGCCATTGCTTCCTGCTAATTTGAAGAGCTTCAAAAAACACGTCTGCTCTCCACAGCTACAACTCTCAACTGATTCATTAATCTGAAGGGCTTCAAAAACACGTCTGCTCTCCATAGCTACAAGTCTCAACTGATTCACTAATCTGAAGAGCTTCAAAAACACGGCTGCTCTTCACAGTTACAAGTCTCAACTGAGTTTTTGAAATCCAAATCAACTCCTTATATATCACATTGAAAAATCATGTCAGCAATTCGAATGTGTGAAAATCGTATCAACCAATCAGAATGCAGTTTGAAAAATCATTTCCACAATGGTCCACTGTTTGAATTAGTAACTTTACATCATAGTTGTTATTAAGTAACTACATCAACTCTATTGCTATGTAACACTATCATTTTGAAAAGAAGCTTCCTTTATTTTGCATGGAACACCTCATACCCATCCTATCTCGTCTCCTTCCTCTAAAAAGTGTACATTGAGTAATATTTGCTAAGAACCTTAAGATAAATAGAAACGCTTTTATAATCTTTGCTTTAAACATTTCTTAAATATCTCGAAAAAATTTTCGTTTTAAAGTACAGGGTATCTTCAATTCCTTTGTACTAATTGATTTTCTTTTTGTCTTTTGTTTCATGAGCTTTTTCTTCTTCTAGACCGTGACTTCATTCCTTTTATCTTTTCCCTGACCCTCTAATTTTCTGAATGCTTGCATCTACGGCTACCCCAGCTCCTGCTGCTGCTGCTCCCTTTGCAAGTGATTTAGCACTTTGAATAGCTACCCGTTTTAATGCTTCTTTGTCGCATTTCGTGCTTTTGCTTTCCCTCCCTGCTTCAACCCTTCCTTAATAGCTTGTTTAGCTGAGTTTTAGATTTCTTCTCCTTGGGAATTTAATCTTCCTTCTTTTATACTTTCCTTTACCACCTATAACTTTAAGAGCATTATCAAGCTCATTATCATCTTGGAATGCTGCGTCTAACCCCTCATCTATTGCTATTGTTGCTGCTGTTCCACCCATTTACTTTCACCAAATTAAACGTTTACGATTGCGTTTCTCCTTTATAAGTTATCCTGCTACTTTCATTAACAAGCGCGGTACTATAGCACCTTTAATTAATGTTTTTCCAATTATATTAATTGCTTTATTCCAAGCTCCTTGGCCTGAAAGCTTTTTCTTAAAGTGATTTTATGTTCTCGATTCACTTTTCTCTTCTTCTTCTTATTTGCAGATCTCTTCTTCCTCCTACGCTTATCCTTTCTAGTTGTAACTAATTAAATCATTTTTATAATGTCTTTTTTACTTACACTTCGAGCATCAATAAAAGATTTTGAAAAAATTAAGACAAACATAGCATCCTTTTATAGCTTTATATTATTTTCTGAATAAAACAAATAACAATTAATAAGTTCACTTTGGTGAATTAATTAATGAGAAAGGTTTTCAAGATATAATTTCCATGGGTTCATCGAGTTCATCCCATGCTTTGCTATTCAGGTCACTCCAATCATCCACATCCATTTCTTCAGACTTCTCTTCAGACTTTCCTATTTCAACTTTTGCTTCGGTCTTCTCTTCAAGGTCTTGTTCTTCTTCTTCTGTGCACTTATCAAGGTCTTGTACTTCTTCTTCTGTCCACTTATCAAGGTCTTATTCTTTTTTTTCTGTGCACTTATCAAAGTCTTGTTCTTCTTCTTCTATACACTTATCAAGGTCTTGTTCTTCTTCTTCTGTGCACTTATCAAGGTCTTGTTCTTCTTCTTCTGTGCACTTATCAAGGTCTTGTTCTTCTTCTTCTGTGCACTTATCAACGTCTTGTTCTTCTTCTTCTGTGCACTTATCAAGGTTTGTTCTTCTTCTTCTATGCACTTATCAAGGTCTCGTTCTTTATCTTCTGTCCACTTATCAAGGTCTTGTTCTTCTTCTTCTATACACTTATCAAGGTCTTGTTCTTCTTCTTCTGTGCACTTATCAAGGTCTTGTTCTTCTTCTTCTGTGCATATATCAAGGTCTTGTTCTTCTTCTTCTGTACACTTATCAACGTCTTGTTCTTCTTCTTCTGTGCAATTATCAAGGTTTGTTCTTCTTCTTCTATGCACTTATCAAGGTCTCGTTCTTTATCTTCTGTCCACTTATCAAGGTCTTGTTCTTCTTCTTCTATACACTTATCAAGGTCTTGTTCTTCTTCTTCTGTACACTTATCAACGTCTTGTTCTTCTTCTTCTGTGCATATATCAAGGTCTTGTTCTTCTTCTTCGGTGCACTTATCAAGGTCTTATTTTTTTTCTGTGCACTTATTAAGGTCTTGTTTTTCTTCTTCTGTGCACTTATCAAGGTCTTATCCTTTTTTTCTGTGCACATATCAAGGACTTCTTTTTCTTCTTCTGTGCACTTATCATGGTCTTGTCTTTTTTTTTTATACACTTATCAAGATCTTGTTCTTCTTCTTCTGTGCACTTATCAAGGTCTTCTTTTCTTCTGTGCACTTATCAAGGTCTTGTTCTTCTTCTTCTGTGCACTTATCAAGGTCTGGTTCTACTTCCTCTGTGCACTTATCAAGGTTTATTCTTGTTCTTTTGTAAACATATCAAGGTGAGGTTCTTCTTCTTCTGTGCATTTCTCAAGGTCTTGTTCTTCTTCTTCTGTGCAGTTATCAAGGTCTTGTTCTTTTTCTTCTGTGCACTTATCAAGGTCTTGTTCTTTTTCTTCTGTCCACTTATCAAGGTCTTATTCTTTTTTTTCTATGCACTGATCAAGGACTTGTTCTCCTTCCTCTGTCCACTTATCGGGCCTTTTCTTCTTCTTCTGTACACTTATGAAGGTCTTGTACTTCTACTTCTTTGCACTTATCAAGGTCTTGTTCTTCTTCTTCTGTACACTTATCAAGGTCTTGTTCTCCTTCTTCTGTGCACTTATCAAGGTCTTGTTCTTCTTCTTCTGTACACTTATCAAGGTCTTGTTCTTCTTGTTCTGTGCACTGATCAAGGTCTTGTTCTTCTTTTTCTGTGCACTTATCAAGGGCTTGTTTTTCTTTTTCTGTACAATTATCAAGGTCTTGTTCTTCTTCTTCTGTGCACTTAACAAGGTCTTATTCTTCTTTTTCTGTACACTTATCAAGGTCTTGTTCTTCTTCTTCTGTGCACTTATCAAGGTCTTATCCTTTTTTTCTGTGCACATATCAAGGACTTCTTTTTCTTCTTCTGTGCACTTATCATGGTCTTGTCTTTTCCTTTTATACACTTATCAAGATCTTGTTCTTTTTCTTCTGTGCACTTATCAAGGTCTTCTTTTCTTCTGTGCACTTATCAAGGTCTTGTTCTTCTTCTTCTGTACACTTATCAACGTCTTGTTCTTCTTCTTCTGTGCATATATCAAGGTCTTGTTCTTCTTCTTCGGTGCACTTATCAAGGTCTTATTTTTTTTCTGTGCACTTATTAAGGTCTTGTTTTTCTTCTTCTGTGCACTTATCAAGGTCTTATCCTTTTTTTCTGTGCACATATCAAGGACTTCTTTTTCTTCTTCTGTGCACTTATCATGGTCTTGTCCTTTTTTTTTATACACTTATCAAGATCTTGTTCTTCTTCTTCTGTGCACTTATCAAGGTCTTCTTTTCTTCTGTGCACTTATCAAGGTCTTGTTCTTCTTCTTCTGTGCACTTATCAAGGTCTTGTTCTTCTTCTTCTGTGCACTTATCAAGGTATGGTTCTACTTCCTCTGTGCACTTATCAAGGTTTATTCTTGTTCTTTTGTAAACATATCAAGGTGAGGTTCTATTTCTTCTGTGCATTTCTCAAGGTCTTGTTCTTCTTCTTCTGTGCAGTTATCAAGGTCTTGTTCTTTTTCTTCTGTGCACTTATCAAGGTCTTGTTCTTTTTCTTCTGTGCACTTATCAAGGTCTTATTCTTTTTTTTCTATGCACTGATCAAGGACTTGTTCTTCTTCCTCTGTCCACTTATCGGGCCTTTTCTTCTTCTTCTGTACACTTATGAAGGTCTTGTACTTCTACTTCTTTGCACTTATCAAGGTCTTGTTCTTCTTCTTCTGTACACTTATCAAGGTCTTGTTCTCCTTCTTCTGTGCACTTATCAAGGTCTTGTTCTTCTTCTTCTGTACACTAATCAAGGTCTTGTTCTTCTTGTTCTGTTACTTATCAAGGTCTTGTTCTTCTTTTTCTGTGCACTTATCAAGGGCTTGTTTTTCTTTTTCTGTACACTTATCAAGGTCTTGTTCTTCTTCTTCTGTAAACTTATCAAGTTCTTGTTCTGCTTCTTCTGTGCACTTATCAAGGTCTTGTTCTTCCTTATCTGTACACTTATCAAAGTCTTGTTCTTCTTCTTCTGTGCACTTATCAAGGTCTTATTCTTCTTTTTCTGTACACTTATCAAGGTCTTGTTCTTCTTCTTCTCATGTTTACTTATCAAGGTCTTATCATTTTTTTCTGTGCACATATCAAGGACTTCTTTTTCTTCTTCTGTGCACTTATCATGGTCTTGTCTTTTTCTTTAATACACTTATCAAGATCTTGTTCTTTTTCTTCTGTGCACTTATCAAGGTCTTCATTTCTTCTGTGCACTTATCAAGGTCTTGTTCTTCTTCTTCTGTGCACTTATCAAGGTCTTGCTCTTCTTCTTCTGTGCACTTATCAAGGTCTGTTTCTACTTCCTCTGTCCACTTATCAAGGTCTTATTCTTTTTTTCTGTGCACTTATCAAGGTCTTGTTTTTCTTCTTCTGTTCACTTATCAAGATCTTATGCTTCTTTTTCTGTGCACTAATCAAGGTCTTGTTCTCCTTCTTCTGTGCACTTATCAAGGTCTTGTTCTTTATCTTCTGTGCACTTATCAAGGTCTTGTTCTTCTTCTTTTGTACACTTATCAAGGTCTTGTTCTTCTTCTTCTGTGCACTTATCAAGGTCTTGTTCTTCTTCGTCTGTGCACTTATCAAGGTCTTGTTCTTCTTCTTCTGTACACTTATCAACGTCTTGTTCTTCTTCTTCTGTGCACTTATCAACGTCTTGTTCTTCTTCCTCTGTGCAGTTATCAAG